GCAAAGAAATGTTCACGTCGGTTAAAACTGTGATCCAACTTTTGACAGAAAACAATGAACGAACAGTTCATTCTTATTACTCAGTGATGAACAGATGTGTATTCAAATGGTAAAGCTCATTAAAAAGAGCTTACCTCACTCGTCATTAGGCCTGAAATAAGCAAATTCGTTGATTTCTCTATAAGTGCTGTTCTTTCCATTTTGCCAATTCTTTCTCCTTTGAAAGCTTAAGTATTTCTTAAGTAAATAAATAATGCAGAGTCTGCTTCTGTGAGTTATTTAAATTTGTACACAAGACGTGTTGAAGCGTCTCTAGTTCCAGCATTGTGACACATACAATAACAATTGACATACGCTGGAGTAAAAGCAGTTGTCAAGAATGTACAATCCAATTTATTATACCATATACAAATGAATAATTTGCCGTTCATCAAAAATATAAGCCATTATATAGTCAAAAGAAAAGATACTCGGTGTGTAGTTGGGATTAAATGACTACATTGTTTTTATTGATAGATGAATGCAGCAGTGATCCATGTGGTACATTGGGTCCTTGTTATAACAGAGTACTTCCATGGAACTCTACACTGCCTCAATATGTATGCGAATGTCCACAAACTGCAATGAACACCCTCACATTCATGGGATTCACATGTGATGTATGGACAGGTAAATACCAAAATAGTTATAGTCGTCTTTATATATACCGTGACAATCATCACTTTGGTTACATATCTTTGATTATATAAACTGCAATGAACACCCTCACATTCATGGGATTCACATGTGATGTATGGACAGGTAAATACCAAAATAGTTATAGTCGTCTTTATATATACCGTGACAATCATCACTTTGGTTACATATCTTTGATTATATTATATAATGCGGAAATTTATTTTTTATAGATGCAAATTCGAAATTGACATGTTTTGGTGAAAGCTGTATGACTGGGACCTTTACATCTCCAAACTACCCAGACTTGTATCTTCCACGTCACCGTAGTCTGTATCTCATCTATGCACCCAATGCTGCTTCCATAACATTCGTCTTTGACCAAAATTTCGAAGTAGAGACCTCTAAAGACGAGATGTACGCCGGTGAAGGGCTGCAACACCCTTTTCCACTGGTCTTCCAAAATAAGACCACGTACCCTATTTACTACGTTTACGAGGGCTATGTCGCGCCACCACCATTGACATTACCAGGGGACACTGTATGGATGCTCTTTGACACTGATAAAACTCGCCAATATCGCGGATGGAGTCTGAATTGGACAGCTTCTCGTAAGTATTTATCAAACATTTACGCAAACACATGTTCACCAATAATAGCGATGTATATAAACTCGATGAAATACAGGTATGCATGTAGTTATTCGAGTATAGCTGCATGGTTGTAACAACCTTCGCTAGGTATTCTTTGATCGTATTTTTTATTGAGTAGAAACTCACAATTTAAATGTGATTCTTTTTCTCGAAAAGTACAGAATTTTAAAATGCTGTTTTGTTCGTGACTCTCTTTACGTGCACAATAACACGTTTTTTCATGTTTCACAGTTCAACAAGAATTCAACGTGGAACCAGTGAATGTTACCGTAACGGAGGGAGAGAACGTTACATTTGAGTCTTCTGTCCTATATAAACACGGTGTTATGTCGTGGATCAGAGACGGCAGTTTCTATATTAACAGAGATTTGAACATGCAAACAACTGACACTAGATACAGTATTGTTAGCACGATAGCGAATACCATGTACAATCTTCATATACTGAATACGGAAGTCAATGATGCCGGCACGTTTGTGGGATATGTGTCTGCTAAGTACGCACATCAAGCCATCTACACGAATTTAGTTAACCTTGTAGTACATGGTAAGATGTGTTTAGTGTGTCTACTAACAATTCACATTATTTCACACATTATTGTACAGGGATGCTTGTTTTTTTTTACAGGAATATATGTGTCTGCAAGGGGTTTTATATATGTACGTTTTTTTACAGGGATGCATGTTTTTATACAGGGATCCACATTTTTGTACATGGTGCATGTTTCTGTACAGGGATGCATGTTTTTATACAGGGATCCACATTTTTGTACATGGTGCATGTTTCTGTACAGGGATGCATGTTTTTGTACAGGAATGCATGTTTTTGTACATGGTGCATGTTTCTGTACATGGTGCATGTTTCTGTACAGGGATGCATGTTTTTGTACAGGAATGCATGTTTTTGTACACGGATGCATGTTTTTGTACAGGTGTTCATGTTTTTGTACAGGTGCATGTTTTTGTACAGGGATGCATGTTTTTGCACAGGGATGCATGTTTTTTTATACAGGGATGCATGTTTTTGTACAAGGGTGCATTTTTTGGTACCAGGATGCATGTTTTTGTACATGATTGAACGTTTTGTACAGGAATGCATGTTTGTGTACTGGTGTTCATGTTTTTGTACAGGGATGCATGTTTTTGTACAAGAATGCATGTTTTTGTACATGGTGCATGTTTCTGTACAGGGATGCATGTTTTTGTACAGGTGTTCATGTTTTTGTACAGGTGTGCATGTTTTTGTACAGGGATGCATGTTTTTGTACATGGTGCATGTTTCTGTACAGGGATGCATGTTTTTTGTACAGGGATGCATGTTTTTGTACAGGGATGCATGTTTTTTTGTACAGGGATGCATGTTTTTGTACAGGTGTTCATGTTTTTGTACAGGGATGCATGTTTTTGTACAGGGATGCATGTTTTTGTACAGGGATGCATGTTTCTGTACAGGGATGCATGTTTTTTGTACAGGGATGCATGTTTTTGTACAGGGATGCATGTTTTTTT